TCGTGGCCCCGTTGCAGCCCCTCGTGGCCTCCTCGCTGCCCTTCGTGGCCCGTTGCAGCCCTTCTGCAGCCCTCCCTCGCTTTGTTTCGTGGCCCCGTTTGCAGCCCTTCGTGGCCCCCCCTCGCTGCCCTTCGTGGCCCCCTGGCCCTCGTGGCCTCCTCGCTGCCCTTCCGTGCCCTTGCAGCCCTTCGTGGCCCCCTCGCTTTGTTTCGTGGCCCCGTTGCAGCCCTTCGTGGCCCCCTCGCTGCCCTTCGTGGCCCCGTTGCAGCCCTTCGTGGCCCCGTTGCAGCCCCCCGTGGCCACTTCGCTGCCCTTCGTGGCCCCATATGCCCCTCGTGGCCCCCGCTCGTTCGCGCCCGTGGTGGCTTCATATGCGTGCCCTTCGTGGCCCCGCTGTCGCCCTGCGTGGCCCCCTCGCTGCCTTTCGCGGCCGCGTTGCTGCCCTCAGTGGCCCCGTCCTTGCCTTCCGCGGCCCAATATACGTATGCCCTTCGTGGCCCCCGCTCGTTCGCGCCCGTTGTGGCCCCATGTGCATGCCCTTCGTGGCCCCGCTGTCGCCTTTTGTGGCCCCCTCAGTGTCCTACGTGGCCCAGTTGCTACCCTCAGTGGCCCCATCGTTGCCTTCTGTGGCCCCGCATTGTCTGCCCTTCGTGGCCCCTGCTCGTTCGCGCTCTTCGTGGCCCCAAACGCATTCCCTTCGTGTCCTCGCTGTCGCCCTTCGTGGCCTACTTCGTGTCCTTCGTGGCCCTGCTGTCGTTCTCTCTCGCTCTCGCTTTCGCTCGTCGTCGTCGTCGCCGTCGCCGTCGTCGCCGTCGTCGTCGACGTCGTCGTCGTCGTCGTCGTCGTCGTCTTCGTCGTCGTGGGCGGTCCCCTGTCCGTCCCTCTTGGGGTCGGGTCGACGGTCCGCGCCCGCCCCGCCGATCAGCGCTGCCGCTGGCCAGGCCGACGGTCCGCGGCAGACCCGCCGCTTGCCGGGGCCTGGCCTGCAGGGAAGAAAGGTATACCCCCCAAAAGGGGTTCGATCGAAGACGAAGAGGGCGGGTATCAAGGGTTTGGAAAGTACGCGCGAATAATCTTAAACTGATTGTTGTTGTTGTTGCTGTTGTTGTTGCTGCTGCTGTTGTTGTCGTCGTCGTCGTCGTCGTCGTCGTCGTCGTTGTTGTTGTTGTTGTTGTTGTTGTTGTTGTTGTTGTTGTTGAACATTATTAAACATTATTAATTCTAAAGAATAATTATTGTTGGGACCCCTGGTGCACGGCCCCCCTGCGCCGCCTAGGCCGCAGCTACATTTTCATCATTTTCGTGAGGAAGCCTCAGGTAATTCGATGTGATCAAGATCCGGTTGTTTTGTTCCCCCCGCTTTCCCTTGCAAAAAACACTATAAAATGACATTTCTTGTTCTAATATAATCAAATTTCAAGAATCCCTTGCAAAAAATAAGGTAAGTGGACATTCGCGCGCGCAAGACGAAATCCTTCCAAAAGCTTAGTGTTCGGAGCGATTTTAACATAAAAACATCAAAAAACCAATGGTTTTTTCAACAAAAAAATGTCAAAATCTCATCCCGCGCGCTCTTGCGGATTCGTAGGAAACCCAACACTTTTTAAACATTTCTGTCAAACGGGCTTTTGCGAGCAACTTTTTTCGAACTTCTGCGACAACGGTTGCGCACCTGCCAGGGCCATCATCCCTGTCAAATATACCATGCGGGACACATTCGTTTTTTGCGCGCGCACGCCGTCCGTCGGGTCGGCCGCTGGGCCCTGACTAGTAGCCATGGTCGTCACGCATGGCCCGAAGTGAAGTGTCGCGAACGTCAACATGGCTGGGCACATGCGCGCCCCGAATAAGTGACCAAGTTCTGTGGGTGTGTACCCCTCGCCAGTGTAGTAGCCACGGTCGTCCGCACGCCACGAAGTGAAGTGTCCCAACGTCATAGGGCGGGAAGCTGGGTTTGGGTGGTCGCGAAGAGTCGTTTGGATATTTGGTAGAGCTTGTAATGCCCCCCCCACGAAGTGGGGGTATTGCCTGGTGTCGTATGAAAACCCTGGCACTGGGGAGAACACCACGCGTTCGGGTAAAATGATTCTAAAGAATAATTATTGTTGGGGCCCCTGGTGCACGGCCCCCCTGCGCCGACTAGGCCGCAGCTACATTTTCATCATTTTCGTGAGGAAGCCTCAGGTAATTCGATGTGATCAAGATCCGGTTGTTTTGTTCCCCCCCGCTGTCCCTTGCAAAAAACACTATAAAATGAAATTTCTTGTTCTAAAATAACCAAACTTCAAGAATCCCTTGCAACAAATAAGGTAAAGTGGACATTCGCGCGCGCAAGACGAAATCCTTCCAAAACCTTAGTTTTCGTAGCGATTTTAACATAAAAACATCAAAAACCATTTTTTTTTTTTTTTTTTTTTTATTATTGTCAAAATTTCATCCCGCGCGCTCTTGCGGATTCGTAGGAAACCCAACACTTTTTAAACATTTCTGTCAAACGGGCTTTTGCGAGCAACTTTTTCGAACTTCTGCAAAAACGGTTGCGCACCTGCCAGGGCCATCATCCCTGTCAAATAATACCATGCGGGACACATTCGTTTTTCTTTCCGTGCGCACGCCGAAATCTTCAAAAACCATTGGGTTTCGTAGGAATTTTAGCACCGCGCAACATAAAATCATTTTTCGCACCGTAGGCCCTTCAAATCGTCGTCGTCGTATACTAAGCTAGTTTCCACAATATGTTACCACAAGAAGTCATTGAAACCATGCGCCAGTGTAGTAGCCACGGTCGTCCGCATGCCACGAAGTGAAGTGTCCGAACGTCATAGGGCGGGAAGCTGGGTGTGGGTGGTGGCGAAGAGTCGTTTGGTAATGTGGTAGAGCTTGAACCGGCCCCCCCACAAAGTTGGGGTATTGGCGGGCGTCGTATGAAAACCCTGGCACTGGTGAGAACACTGAGCGTTCGGGTACAATGATTGTGGTTGTTGTTGTTGTTGTTGTTGAACATTATTAATTCTAAAGAATAATTATTGTTGGGACCCCTGGTGCACGGCCCCCCCGCGCCGCCTAGGCCGCAGCTACATTTTCATCATTTTCGTGAGGAAGCCTCAGGTAATTCGATGTGATCAAGATCCGGTTGTTTTGTTCCCCCCCGCTTTCCCTTGCAAAAAACCACTATAAAATGACATTTCTTGTTCTAATATAATCAAATTTCAAGAATCCCTTGCAAAAAATAATGTAAAGTGGACATTCGCGCGCGCAAGACGAAATCCTTCCAAAAGCTTAGTGTTCGGAGCGATTTTAACATAAAAACATCAAAAAACCAATGGTTTTTCAACAAAAATTGTCAAAATCTCATCCCGCGCGCTCTTGCGGATTCGTAGGAAACCCAACACTTTTTAAACATTTCTGTCAAACGGGCTTTTGCGAGCAACTTTTTCGAACTTCTGCAACAACGGTTGCGCACCTGCCAGGGCCATCATCCCTGTCAAATAATACCATGCGGGACACATTCGTTTTTTCTTCGCGCGCGCACGCCGTCGTCGTCGGCCGCGGGGCCTTGAAATAGTAGCCACGGTCGTCCGCATGCCACGAAGTGAAGTGTCCGAACGTCATAGGGCGGGAAGCTGGGTGTGGGTGGTGGCGAAGAGTCGTTTGGAAATGTGGTAGAGCTTGAACCGGCCCCCCCACAAAGTGGGGGTATTGCCCGCCTCCTATGAAACCCTGGCACTGGTGAGAACGGAGTGTCCCCACGTGCTAGTAATTGTTGTTGTTGTTGTTGTTGTTGTTGTTGTTGTTGTTGTTGTTGTTGTTGTTGTTGTTGTTGTTGTTGTTGTTGTTGTTGTTGTTGTTGTTTTTGAACATTATTTATTCTAAAGAATAATTATTGTTGGGCCCCCTGGTGCGCGCCCCCCCTGCGCCGCCTAGGCCGCAGCTACATTTTCATCATTTTCGTGCGGAAGCCTCAGAAAAGAGGGTGTGTACAGGATCCGGTTGTTTTGTTGTAATCCGCTTTCCCTTGCAAAAAACAATAGAAAATGACATTTCTTGTTCTAATATAATCAAATTGCAAGAATCCCTTGCAAAAAATAAGGTAAAGTGGACATTCGCGCGCGCAAGACGAAATCCTTCCAAAAGCTTAGTGTTCGTAGCGATTTTAACATAAAAACATCAAAAAACCAATGGTTTTTCAACAAAAAAATGTCAAAATCTCATCCCGCGCGCTCTTGCGGATTCGTAGGAAAAACAACACTTTTTAAACATTTCTGTCAAACGGGCTTTTGCGAGCAACTTTTTCGAACTTCTGCGACAACGGTTGCGCACCTGCCAGGGCCATCATCCCTGTCAAATAATACCATGCGGGACACATTCGTTTTTTTTGCGCGCGCACGCCGAAATCTCCAAAAACCATTGGGTTCTTAAGAATTTTAGCACCGCGCATGTGTACCCACGCCAGTGTAGTAGCCACGGTCGTCCGCACGCCACGAAGTGAAGTGTCCCAACGTCATAGGGCGGGAAGCTGGGTTTGGGTGGTCGCGAAGAGTCGTTTGGATATTTGGTAGAGCTTGTAATGCCCCCCCACGAAGTGGGGGTATTGCCTGGTGTCGTATGAAAACCCTGGCACTGGGGTGAACACCACGCGTTCGGGTAAAATGATTGTTGTTGTTGTTGTTGTTGTTGTTGTTGTTGTTGTTGTTGTTGTTGTTGTTTTTGGTGTTGTTGTTTTGCTGTTGTTGTTGTTGTTGTTGTGTTCGTTGTTGTTGTTGCTGTTGCTCTGATTTTGATGTGTGTGGTGGTGATTAATGGAGGAGGAGCCAGGAAGGAGAGAGGGAGGAGATGACTGAGGAGGAGGAGGAGGAGGAGGAGGAGGAACGAGGAGGAGGAACGAGGAGGAGCAAGGAACAAGGAAGAGTGACGAGCGAGCCAGCATCGAGGAGCGACCACATCGTAGCAGGGAACGGGCAGACGCGGCGGGCAGCACGCGGCGCCGGGGGGGCCCGGCCCAGGCGCGCCCTCGTGGAGAGGAGGCGCGGGCGAGCCGGGCGGCTGGTCCCCCGAGCCGGGAGCGGGGGCGGCCTGTCGGGCGTTTGGTCCATGGGGTTCTTGCAGAGGGGGGGTGGGGGACCTCCAAAGGGCCGCAGGAGCCCCAAAGGGGCCCTCGGGGGCCCTGAAAGGGGGCCGCAGATGGGGCCGAAGGTTGCAGGACAGGGGCCCTGCAGGGGCCCTGCGGGGGCCGAAGGTGCGCGAAAGGTGCGGCTTTGTCCCCCCCCCCCCCCCCTTCTGTTGCACCCCCCTGGTAGGCAGCGCGCCCGAGCCTGGGTGGGTGCTTCCAGCGCAGCGACGGGGTCGTGCGAGAGAGGTGCGAAGTTCGAGGTTCTCGGGCGCTCGCGCCGCTGGCGTGCCGGCCTCGGGATGCTCTCCAGCAGCTGCGCCTCTCTGGGGACTTTCCAGGCGTGCCCGGATCGTCCCGAACGGCCGCTGGAGACCGGAGCGATGGCTCGAGGGCCCGGCGGCGTCGAAGGGGGGGGAGGAGGAGGAGGAGCATGAGGAGGAGGGGAGGGGTGGAGGAGAGGAGGAGGAGGAGGAGGAGGAGGAGGAGGATGAGGAGGAGGAGGAGGAGAGGAGGAGGAGGGAGGAGGAGAGGAGGAGGAGGTAGGTGAGGAGGAGTGAGGAGGAGGATTAGGAGGAGGATGAGGAGGATGAGGATGAGGAGGAGGAGGAGGAAGTGAGCCGCGGGCTGTTCGGGGCTCGCTCTTTGGAGGTCTCTGGTCGCCGTGAGGAGCCCCTCGCGGCCACGGAGGGGCCCGCCGCGAGAGTCTGGTCCGAAGGCACCGCAGGAGGGGTCCGCGGGGCTTGTAGGGGGCCACATGCGAACCCTACCCCTACCCCCCACGAGTTTTTTGAGGGGAGGGTGGGGTTCACTTCGCTCGTGGCCTCCCGAACGAAGTGAACCCCACCCTCCCCCTCAGAAATCGTGGGGGGTAGGGGTAGGGTTCGCATGTGGCCCCCTAGCTTGGCCTGTGGTCAGAAACTGGAGCATATACACTACGAGCCAGCCGCTCCGCGGTTGATCGGGAGGTCCTGCACAGAGGAGGAAGGGGCGTGCGCTTCTCGGCGAGAGGAAGATGTGATCGAGACGAGAAGGAGCGTGAGGATCAGGAGGGCGAGGCTCGCGAGGGGGAGGATCAGGAGAGTGAGGGTCACGCGGGCGAGGATCAGGCGACCGTGGAGCCGGAGGGTGAGGATGTGGACTCCTCCTCCTCCTCCTCCTCCTCCTCCTCCTCCTCCTCCTCCTCCTACTTCTCCAACTCTCCTCGTCCTCCTCCACCTCGTCATCCTCCTCCCTCTCCTCTCTCCCTCCTCGTCCCCCCTTCCCCCCCCGGGATTTTCCGGGATCTCGCCTGACATGGAACAGGGGGGTCTCTGAGGGCCTCTTTGGCTCCAGTGGCTCCTTGGTTTTTCTGAGGAGGTCTGGCGCGAGGCCGCCGGTTTGTAATTCGTCGCCGGATGTCGCCGGTGGTCCTTGGAGAATGCCATTATCGACCCCCTCCAAAGGCGTTGAGCGAATCCACTCGCTGCTCCACTTTGGCCGAAATGCCTTGTCGCGTTTTTTGAGAGAGGGGGGTTTTTGTCAACCCCCGTGGGCCTTTTGAGGGCCTCCTTGGGGACGTTCTGGGGGCCAGTTCTTTTGAGGACGTTTCGTGGGAGGGCGCTGGTGTGGAATTCGTCGCCGGATTCGCTGGATGTCCTGGATCTCGTCGGAAAAGGATCAGGGGGGCCTCTGAGGGAGGCTCTGGGGTTTGTTTTTTCTGAGGATGTCCCACGCGAGGGCGCCCGTTTGGAATTCGTCGCCGGATTCTCTGGGATCTCGCCGGAAACGGAACAGGGGGGCCTCTGAGGGCCTCCTTGGGGAGGTTCGGGGGGCCGGTTTTTCTGAGGATGTCGCCGGAAACGGACCAGATGGGCCTTTTGAGGGCCTCTTTGGGGAGGTTTTTGGGGACCAGTTTTTCTGAGGATGTCCCACGCGAGGGCGCCAGTTTAGAATTCGTCGCCGGATTCGCCAGATGTCGCCAGATGTCGCCGGAAACGGACCAGTTGGGCCTTTTGAGGGCCTTCTTGGGAAGGTTTTTGGGGGCCAGTTTTTCTGAGGATGTCCCTCGCGAGGGCGCCGGATGTCGTCGGAAACGGAACAGATGAGATTTTTGAGGGCCTCCTTGGGGAGGTTTTTTGCGGGCCAGTTTTTCCGAGGACGTCCCACGCGAGGGCGCCGGTGTGCAATTCGTCGCCGGAGTCGCCGGATTCCCCAGATGTCGCCGGAAACGGAACAGGGGGCCTTTGAGGGCCTCCTTGGGGAGGTTCTGGGGGCTGGTTTTTCTGAGGACGTCCCACGCGAGGGCACCGGTTTGGAATTCGTTGCCGGATTCGCCGGATTCGCCAGATCTCGCTGGAAACGGAACAGGGGGGGGGCCTTTGAGGGCTTCCTTGGGAAGGTTCTGGGGGCTGGGTTTTCTGAGGATGTCCCACGCGGGGGCGCCTGTTTGGAATTCGTCGCCAGATTCGCCAGATTTCCTGGATGTCGTCGGAAAAGGAACAGGGGGGCCTCTGAGAGAGGCTTTGGGGTTTGGTTTTTCTGAGGATGTCCCACGCGAGGGCGCCGGGCCGGATTCTCCGGGATCTCGCCGGAAACGGAACAGGGGAGCCTCTGAGGGCCTCCTTGGAGACGCTTCGGGGGCCGGTTTTTCGGAGGGTGTCCACCCGAGGGCGCCTGTTCGGAATTCGCCGCCGGATTCGCTGGATTCGCTGGATCTCGCCGGAAACGGAACAAGGCGGCCTCTGAGGTCCTCCTCGGGGAGGTTCTGGGGGCCATTTCTTTATGAGGATGTCCCACGCGAGGGCGCTGGTTTGGAATTCGTCGCCAGATTCGCCAGATCTCGCCGGAAACGAAGAAGGGGGGCCTTTCAGGGCCTCCCTACGCCAGTTTGGAACTCGTCGCTGGAATTCGCCGCATCTCGCCAGAAACGGAACAGGGGGGCCTCTGAGGGCCTCCTTGGGCAGGCTCTAGGGGCCAGTTCTTCTGAGTATGTCCCACTCGAGGGCGCCGCTTTGGAATTCGTCGCCAGATTCGCTGGATCTCGCCAGAAAGGGAACAGGGGGACCTCTTTGGGCCTCCTTGGGGGGGCCTGGGGGCCAGTTTTTCTGAGGATGTCCCACGCGAGGGCGCCGGATTGGAATTCGTCGCCAGATTCGCCAGCTCTCGCCGGAAACGGAACAAATTTGAAGGTCTCCTTGAGGTTTTTGGGGCCAAGTTTTTCCGAGGACGTCCCACGCGAGGGTGCCAGTGTGGAATTCGTCGCCGGATTCGCCAAATGTCACCAGAAAAGGAACAGGCGGGCCTTCTGAGGGCCTCCTTGGGGAGGTTTTTGGGGGCCAGTTTTTCTGAGGATGGCCCGCGCGGGGGCGCCAGTTTGGAATCGTCGCCGGATTCGCCAGCCCTCGCCAGAAACGGAACAGAGGGTCCTCTGAGGGCCTCAATATTGGAGAGGCTCCGGGGGACTGGTTTTTCTGAGGATGTTCCACGCGAGGGCGCCGGTTTGGAATTCGTCGCTAGATTCGCCGGATTCTCCGGAAACGAAACAGGGGTGCCTCTTTGGGCCTCCTTGGGGAGGCTTTGTTCTCTGAGGATGTCCCACGCGAGTGCGCCAGTTTGGAATTCGTCGCCAGATTTGCCAGATTCGCCGGATTCGCCGGATGTCGCCATAAACGGAACAGGGGGCCTCTGAGGGCTTCCTTGGGCAGGCTCCGTGTGCTGGTTTTTCTGAGGGTGTTCCACGCGAAGGCGCCAGTTTGGAATTCGTCGCCGGATTCGCCGGATCTCGCCGGAAATGGATCAAATTGGAGGGTTTTTTCTTGAGGATGTCCTACGCGAGGGTGCCGGTGTGGAATTCGTCGCTGGATTCGCTGGATGTCTCCGGAAACGGAACAGATGGGCCTTTTGAGGTCTTCCTTCGGGACGCTTTGGGGGGCCGGTTTTTCTGAGGACGTCCCACGCGAAAGCGCTGGTTTGGAATTCGTCGCCAGATTCGTCAGATGTCGCTGGGAACGGATCAGGGGGGGCCTTTTGAGGTCTTCCTTCGGGACGCTTTGGTGGGCTGGTTTTTCTGAGGATGTCCCACGTGAGGGCGCCGGTTTGGAATTCGTCGCCTGATTCGCCAGATCTCGCAGGAAACGAAACAGGGGGGGGCGGTCGGCGAGGCTTTTGCCTCGCGCGATAGGGGTCAGGATGACGTGAGTTCCAGAGAAACTCCCTGAAACCAGTGGCGGGCTGTTTTCCAGTCCCAGAATTTCTTGAGGGTCGGGGACGACGTCGGGGTGGTGTGGTGTATACCTTTTTTCTTTTTTCTTGTTTTCGCTGGGAAGCAACAGGTGTATACACCAGGATCCCGTATGCACCAGGATCCGCTTTCCTGTGCGAATTTCAGCGAGGGCCAGAAAATGCGTCGGTCTATAGGGTTCGGCTCCTCACATGGAGGAAAGCATCGACCCCCAATCGCCCATTTTCCTCCCCGATCGGGGCATGGGTGCTCCACCACGCCCAGGAACGTCGGGGTTCCACATCGGGGGCCTTTCGTCAATCTCTATCGGCAGCGTCTCGCCGATTGAGGATGATGAGGATGAGTACGCTGATGATGATGACGATGATGATGAGGGTGATGATGCGGTTGATGATGATGATGATGATGCTGATGCGGATGAGGATGAGGATGATGATGACGACGATGAGGACGATGATGACGATGAGGATGATCATGATGACGATGATGATGAGGATGCTCATTATGATGATGATGATGTTGATGATGATGATGATGATGCGGATGAGGATGGATGAGGATGATGATGACGACGATGATGATGATGATGAGGATTTTGATGCTGATCATCACGAGGACGATGATGCCGTCGCTGATGCTGATGATGATGAGAAGGAGGAGGCTGGTGATGAACAATTTCTGACGATGATGACGATCACGATGATGACCATGCCGACG